GATTATCGATTTGGAAGAGCTTTAACCAGCCAACAGTTGAACGACAGTTTGTGGACAATCGCCGGCCGTTTGTAAGTTTTTACTCGGTATTCAATATGAACGAGCGGATTCCTCAATACGTACGGCTCGTTGAACTATTTGGGGTAAAATCTCATTTATAGGACGCAAGGGGAACTCCATGGGAACCCAAAATCACTTTACAGAGTATATTATGGTATAGTATAGTATGTGGCACAGTATAATATGCTATAACATTGACCCGTAAACTCTAAGGTTAAAATGTCACTGATCCACCAATGAATGCGTTTTGTGTGCAATCTACCAACTGCCTTTTGGGACAATAGCACTGGCTTAAAGGTCTGCTCTGTGTGGTAGACAGTGGCTAGCAAATGCAAACTAAAAGATGGTTATGCGAAAACTTTAAAGGCAACAACCGCAAGCGAGCGTGGTCATGCGGTAGAAATGATTGCACACTAGACAGCATCGTTCTCAGATATACCATTTCGACAATCTAGTTGAATGTGAAATGAGCAGGGAAGTTGGAAGAGACAAACCACAGTATTCGGATATGTAAGTGACGTTGTGAACGACACAAGACTAAAGTCTACCACTTTCAGTTATGCAAGTGAGTAACTAACGAACGCGAGATTTCTGCCGCGTCTTCCACGAACATGTCGGATTGCCTTACAAGCATGATGGAAGGGGTATTTCGAATTCTAGTGTCTGTGAATTTCAATCCCTCGACAGTGAACTCATCATTAGACATACGCAGCACATCATCACTAGCAGCTGTGAAAGCCACGAAGTTGCCGTCCAGCTACCATAGCTTCGTTCACCGACGATTTGGGGAGGTGGGCTAGGTAGCATCACAGGTACCCGCATAACAAGTTCTTACATTTACTCCGTTCGTTTGATCTGTCTGTAGTTGGTTTGGAAAAATTGACCTATGTGATGATTATGCATCGAGCAGTTTGATGACATTTCGAAGCCGCGGCATTCACATCGCCAGGTTCCGGTCGTACATCTTTTTTTAAGCTCCATTTTGATTGATTGTATGCTCAGAACGTTCGATTCTGAAGTCTGATTATTACGAGGGAACGGGGCTTAATACAGGTGTCGAGTGTTTTGCTTTTTCGATCAACTTTTCAATGCGACTCATTGAACGGGCGTCAGAAAGCTCCCTGGATGGATGGCTTATAGTCAGATTCGATTCCGAAGAGTTAAGGGATGAGATTTTGCATTGTCCACCTATGACCGAATGACGTTTAGTAATTGAAATTACGGTGATGCTAGAGGGGTACACCTTCGAATCAGAGTAGAAATAACCGATGCTTCATGACTGATAATCGAATGCACACCAAAATATCATCAAAATATACCATCCGATGCTGTTGGCACGCATCTCGACCATAAAAAGGCACACAATGCTTTCACATGACCTCTACATTGGGACTTTTGAGGCACAGCGTTTCGAAGGCGACGGAACTGTTACAAATGCGGTTCACCACAGCGTCTTGCACCACATTGGCTGCAGTCCCGCTTCTCCTGCACAAATTTGCTGAGATCCAAACGACCTTGAAGAGTTGGACTCATCGCGTCTCAAAACACGTCTGCTCAAATCACGATAATTCCAGAACTAAGATGCAGTAAGGATTCCAACATGTGGCCGTAATGACGGTTTCGGTCACCGTTCTGGTACATTTGTCCCGAAGATGAGGCGACCTCGAGGTTGGATCACCAGTCGATCAACAGGATCACTACGTGCGAAGCTCAAGAAGAAAATGGCGTATATTCCGCTTGATTTAAATTGAATTCAAACGGAACTCTGTCAAAGTATTATGTGTTTTCACTACCTGCAGATTTCTCGTTACTTGTTTTCCACCAAATGGGTGGATTTGTCTAAAGTTCACCGGCGAGGATGTAATCTAATTGGTCCTCTATGATCACACCCTCACGCCTTCGTCGAGTTGTAGGAAAACCAGATCGTTCATCGACCGTAATTCCTCGGTAGCTCGTATTGTTCAGGAAGTAGACACCTCAGTACCACCGGACAGTAGCGGACAGAAACTGGTCCCCACTTGCGTGTATGCTGGAGTAAGGTCATTAACCTGGTCGCGTAGTTTTCCGCGTGCCTCGGGGGTATCTTGAACTTTATCCCCACTGATTGGACTTCCAGTCGAAATCTGCTTAACGCACCAACGAACAATTGCAAAACAAACACATTACCTCTATTTAAAACTCCGGTTCGGCTTGTTCAAAGTCAACCAGAAAAGCCGAAATCGTTCATGTTTTTCCAACAGCCAGTGCGTCTCCTTTGTACTACACGGAGCAAACTACATGTTCACATTCTCCACCGCACTGCTTCTCAGAGCTGCGCATCATATCTCAAATCAGTCAGCACGTGGTCTACGGCATCGCGCACAAATGAATTTGTATGCGGTGGATTTACCATAGAATGGGACAGTAAACTTGGGGTCCGTGGGCCGCGACACCAGTGCAACGTGTGGTATGCACAAGGACATGACGAAAAATCGTTGACTGCGCCTAGCTGATGAGCCCCAAGGAGAGTGAAACCGGTCGTGGGCTGTCGAGGAGTTTTCAGCAATCATATGAGTAGTGTCTTTCCAGGGAAGAAGGTCCATATTTTGGTGGTGAGGTTTCCATGAAGTGAATGAAGGGTGGTGACTGAAGTTAACGGTCAGCTCTGCCTCGTCATTCATGGTCCAAGGATCTCATCGGAAGTTTTTCTTTGGAAATGCCCATTCATATAACACATCCAACCACATTTGAGCAACTCAGTTAAACAGCCGATGGAGTGGTAGGAACAAAACACATTCCACAGAAAGGTGTTCCCAAACCGTTGATGACGGCAGTTGTAACAAACGAGCTAAACACTGTTCATTCTGGAAACGCTAGCGATGGCGTCTGAAACTTTATAAATATTTTTACTGGGTAATTTCCAACTTGTTTTTCTGCCGACCTCAAACGTGTTCCCGTCCGGTGTTCTTTTCGGTGTCTTTCACAACTCCAGAAATCAAAGATGTTCCAAAATATCATTGCCTTTCGCATTCCGTCAAAGACGTTGACTATGGACGATGGGAGTAACCAACACGTGACCTAAGCATCACCAATGCCTGACCATTGTAGTGGGTCACGAAGTTCACATGGGTAAGTGTTAATGGGTAGACTATCGGACAAAGCAGATACCAATAATATCGAAATTCCGCCGAATAGTAGATGTCTTGAAAAAAGCAGCACAGTTCAAATGCGAACTGGAATGTACACACGCCCCAGTGAGATATTTCTAATCTTGTCTATACAAGAAACGAACGTGCGCGACGAAGAAAGTCGTGATAAGACGTCGACTCTAGGATCAAAATGGAAGCGGTTCGAATTTGGCGTTTTCTGGTTCAGTTCGGGCTCGGCCTAAAATACCGGTTATGAATAGGAACCTTGATAGATATGATACAAAACTTGGTCGAGTTTTCCACTTCAGACGCGTCACTTTGATTCATGTGTGATCCAGTGAAGCATGAGAAAGCGGAAACACTTGTCGGAGAGTATTTTCAGCTCATCGCATCGTTAAACAAAAGTGTGAGAATGAAGTTACCCAAAAAATCCCTCATTTGTAACACCCTTCCGGTGCCTAGCTGCGACGCCACCCGAATGTTGCACGAGGGCCGGGATACTGTCAGGTCGCCCAAGCCAAGACAGGGAAAGTCGGGAGGCACAGGTCGGGTTCGAACCACGGACCTTCCGGTCAGTAAATCCGCGCTCTAACCACTTGAGCCATTTCGCCCCCCAAATGTGGAGACAGTTGAAATCAGAGGTATTACTGTTCACTGGATCCATTCGCCCCCCAAATGTGGAGACAGTTGAAATCAGAGGTATTACTGTTCGACCGCGGTTCTCAAATGAAGTACAAACGCTGAGGCGGTCAAGTCGAAAAACGGCAGATGGATTCAAACATAACGGATCAAGAGCTAACGCCTTTACTTCGAGCATACGGGGGGTCATAGATTCGTCGTACAGTGAACGCGGTTTATCCGTCTGTCTGTGAGATTGTGCTCAGAAATTAATCAAAGTAATCAATAAAAGGGCTGTCAAATGCACCCAACAAGTGGATGAGTACTAACCGCTTCAGTGCCTCGTGTCCTCGTACGTCCGCTTTGATAAGCTCCTCCTTGGTGCGCACACTACTGGCTTGTTGTGCGAGCAAGAACCTGTCTTCTTCCATTTGCGCTGAGGACACAGCATCCTGTGCTTCATTTGAAGTTTTGTCGGAACTATCTTTCGTCGAAGTGGTCATGAACACCGTAGATGGAGCTGTGTAAACGGCGGCTGTGTTTTGGGATTCTGCATCTAGAACAAGAACTGACTGTTTTGGAGCTGCGTAAGACAGGGAAGGGGAACAGGGATGAGGAATGGGAAAAGCGGTAACACGGGTTATTTGATGCAGGCAGCCTGTTATAATTGCTCAGAAACAAGTCCAAAACCAAGAAACCAACAAATGCGCTTGAGGAAATGCTTGTACGAAAATGTAGTATGTTTTAGCACGTTTCTGATACGATCCGTTTACTAAAAAGAGAGGAGTGAGGTCATCACAAGCTTACGAGAAATGAAAAACATTAGTGCAGACAACGTTTACCGGTGAGCCGTCCGTCAGATGAAAGAAACCTCAGCTCCTTCAAAGACAGTCTCTACAACGGCCTAAACCCCTAATTCCAAGGATGCTCAAAATTCCAAGCAATCCTTGACCTGGGACATCCTGCCAGGGTGATGACGATGTGACTCACCACCGTCGGAGGCGATAAGGATCAACTTGTTCCGAAAGCCGTCAATCGGAACTGCAGTGAGTCGTGACTTGTGCACAACTAGGGACCGATCAACTCGAATCTATCCTGTCCCAGGGGGTGGTCAGTTTGAAGTTCCACTTTATTCATGTGAACAAAGAAGTCGTTTTCAACTGGTTCCAACAGGTTCGAAGACCAAACCAACCCGGTCAAAGAAAACAAGGACTTTGGATAATAGTACGGAATGAAAACCCAGTACCGTTAATTCCTGAGGTGGTAGAGAGGCTTACATTGCAGTTGAGTTAAGCGTGTGAACCAATGACATGAATTCACAAAGTGATCATCCGATTGGAAATCTGCACAAAAACTTGTGAGATCTCAAAATAACGGATAAACATTCCAAAAGTTTGCGAACGATTTGTCAAGGGTTTTACAGAACATAATAGTTTCAGCTACCATGAGGGAATCGACGGCGATTAGGTATGCAGTGAATAACGACCCGGATTGTTATCGCAAGCACAACAGAGAATACCATCAATCAGAAATACTGCTTAGGTAAACCGCGAAGAGTAGAAATTACTAGGTTCCGCTGGCCTAAAAGTACGTCATACAGAACGACTACAGTGAAGCGTGACTGAAATGAAACGCGTGAAATGGGAGCACATACCTCGAGCTGGTGCGTCTAGGTCGTAGGGTGGTGGAGCCGGTTTTGGAAGAGCAGCAACTAAATGCGCCCGTTCCTGTTCCATTGCACGCACTTCGGCCAAACGCAGTCTTGGTTCTGATTCGTCCTGCTGTTCCAATTCCCGTTTTGTCTGCTGTGCTTGCAGCGCGACGTTGAACCGTTTCACGGCCTGCCCGTGGGCCACACGTCTTTCGCGGTCAAGGTCAATCTTCGGGTCATGCTACGTCAGATGGGTTGAAGATCGAGAATATTCATAGCCGAATGGTACTCAGTTGTGAGTGCTTATGTGGACACTATTTAAATGATATCGATCGGCCATGGTTAACAAAAAGATTTGTTGCTAACACCTCGAATAACACAAGTGCGGATACAAATAGAACACTGACTCTGGGAAATCCAGTAAAAGCAAACTGCCCGGCTTGATTTATGGTAGTAACAAGAAGGCATACTAGCATGAGGACTGAACTACTGGCAGACTAAAAAATATCGCCAAGCCTTTTTTGGGCAGACTAAACGTACTGGTGATAAAAAAAAGCGGCAAAAAATGACCTGCGCATTGAAATGATGCATAATGGAATGGACTTGAGAGTGGTTGGCACACGTGGAAAAGTCAGCGTCTTGGGATATCGATGGTAAGCAAAGAAGGGTCGCAATGTTTTTTACAAGCAACAGGAACGTAAAATAGGCGTTTTTCCGAAAGACGTCCCTGTTGTTTGTAAAGCCCAGTATGAGCTTCTAGGACTTGTCGGTTGGTGAAATGCCAGATATTGCAACTTGGGAAATTTGATTTCATTAAAAAAATAAGGAAACTATCCAGTCATCATCAACTGTAAAAGCTGCGTACTTGTTGTACGGTGGTTATAGCTGCTACAAGTTCGGTTGCCGATGATTTAGAAAAGTGAGGTCGATAGCTACGCATTGGAGGCGGTGGCTGATTTAACTGAAGCGCAAGTAAAGGAGTGTCAGTAAACTCCTCATTGGGGAGGTCTGGATGAACTGTAAAAGCTGCGTACTTGTTGTACGGTGGTTATAGCTGCTACAAGTTCGGTTGCCGATGATTTAGAAAAAGTGAGGTCGTAGCTACGCATTGGAGGCGGTGGCTGATTTAACTGAAGCGCAAGTAAAGGAGTGTCAGTAAACTCCTCATTGGGGAGGTCTGGATGGAGGCTATGAATTGAAGACAACAGCTTGATTGCATGAGCGCCACTGAAAGCGCTAGTGGACAGTGTCCGAAAATATCTCTCATTGATGTGTCCAATCCAAGGAGACGGCAGTGACCGGTGCAATTGAATTTGCTAGTGCAGGTCATCATTTGGCCTCCCCTGTCTCGTTTCCACCATTCATGTGGTTGTGAAAAAAGCTCTTTGAGGAAGTTATTAGACTAGCATAATGAACACGTGACCAAGCCAAAGCAACCTATAGAGTGTGATCAGCTCAGCTACCGTGGGTGATTTATTTCTTCCGAAACCCATTCAAGGTACTTCAGTTTAACTGACCCAATGTTTCCACCAGACTCCAAGAATTCTCTGAGGACATCGATGGCCAAACACTGGGAGTCTTTTGACATCCTCAGCGCGCAGCGGCCAGTTTTTTACCCGTATAATAATATGGAGCACACTGCAGCATTGTAAACTCGATCATTAACGGATGAACTGATATCAAGTCTACGTCAGAGGCGATGCAGTTCCATGAAAGCTGCACTGGTCCTCCCAATCCGGATAGGAATATCATCTTTCACAAGACTACCGTGACTAATACGGCTGCCTAGATAGATGAATCTGTCTACTAATTCAATCGACTCGTCCGCAAGCAAGAGGCTAGGGTTCGAGCCTATTATCTTGCAGCAGCACTTTACTCCTTACAGGTGTGAAGCGCATGCCAAACTATGAGGCAGAATTATTTATTCCATTTAATGTAGCCTGCAGTACAATGACGTCAGATCCTAGAAGAGCTGTGTTTTCTGCATAATTGAGCCCACATTAGTCGTTGGCACTGACTGTCCCATAATAATCTCACTGAAGGAGTTGAAGAGGAAATGTGAAAGAAGGCAGTCACGCATGGCACCACTTGGCGTGGTGAACTCATGTGAGAGCTTCCCGTAGACATTCATGCGTCCGAGGGAGTTGACGTGGAGCACCTTAAGGAGGGCCAAGAATTTATGGGGGACACCTTTGCTCCATAGGCAATGCCATAGTCCCTGACGGCTCACAGAGCCGAAGACAGCTTTCAAGTCAATGAGAACAACCAGTGTCGGCGCCTGGAAGCAGTGTGGTTGTTCCAGAATCTGCCGATGTATCCCCTTTCAGGACGGAACCCAGCTTGGTTTTCACGGACGTATGTCGGTCTACCCAGGAAGGATAAGATCGGAGAGCATGTTTGATGCCACGATGGCTTTTGCACAATGTTTGCGTACCCTTTTTGAGGATATGGATAACTGTCAAAATGCTCCAGTCTCCAGGCACTTTCTCTTCACTCCATATCGACCCATTCCTGGGTCACCAAGAATTCTCTGCCTTCTTTGTTGCGGGCTGGATACATACCATCCGGTTTTGATGCCTAATGACGTCTCAGTGCGAATATTTCGTTTTTTTCTGACAGGCAATTAAGGTTTACATTCCATTCGCTCGTATGACCTGTCTCCAAAAGCTGTGTTGCAGGATGCCAGCTAAACTGCTTTTTGAGGTGTTCGGCCCATCTTTCCAGCCGGCATTTTGACTAATGAATTAGTGAGCCATCTTTCTCACCTATCATTATACGGCAGTGAAGCATCGGCGTTGAACACTAATGTCATGCTATCGATGATGATGATGATGATGATGATGATGATGATGATGATAAATCATGATGACTATCACTTCACTGGTCGTTTGTTTCCTATGATCAGTCCACCGTGTCGATTATTTCAGGGAGTCTGTTTCCAGTAGCAACAATCCTCTCCTGGGTTTCCGATATCAAACAAGGCTTTCGATCTTTCCTGAGGATCTTCACTATGCGCCGACACTTGCGTGCGCTATCATACTCGTTGTTTTCTGGAGTGGATTTCATGGTATCAACCAGTGTCAGATATCCCGACGATGTCCAGTGGTCATTTGAATGTATCGGACAAGTCCGATAGACAATACTGAAAGCAGTTAGCATGGCTCCTCCCACAGTTTGCTATGCTTGGTCCACGGGCTCGCTACGAGTGCCGTGTTCTGTTACTGTAGAGAGTAATCCAGCAAAATTAGATCGATATTGTTAAGCCAGTTGAGCTAGTTCTCCGGAATCCTGGCAGTTCTCCCTGATTTGACATGTTTCTTGCTGACTTGCGACAGCCTGAATGGAATCATCAACATCGACAGCACGACATCAGTGACAGCACGACGTGTTCAACACCGATGCTTCACTGCCGTACAACCATGACTTATTTGAAAGCCTTATTCTAAAGAAAAGAGTAAAAGTGGATGGATGGGGGACGTAGTGCTAGCCTACTACAATCATTCCGAGGTGCCTACACCTCCAGACATTCACTCAGGTGATCTGACAACAAGAACGCCAATGACATCGGTTGGCAGCCATATCTTGTAGTGTCTCCAACCAGGCACAGTGAGGATCAGGCGATCCCCATCCTGGAAGGCGAGTAGCACCGACAGCACTCAAGCGTTTCGTGATTTCCTCCATACCCCTCTGACAGATCAAGGGTTTGCCACCACACTGTTTCTACCACTC